CAAATCATCCTTTACACAGTAATATGGACTGAATAGGCAAGAACTCATCTAACATTGCGGGGCAAAATTAGAAATAATGCTTAAACCCGGTTGAAGTGTCCAAAGAACTCGCTCGGTGAAAGTATGGATCGGGTTGTTTGTCTTGATTGGCAAATTTGTTCAATCTGCTAAGTTCAATATCGACAATTATGCTGCTCTTTAATTATCGAACTTTCTTTATTAGGAAAGAAGTAAGAATCGGGTTGACCCGATTGATGGGTTGTGCTTAAGAAGTAAATACCGAGTCAGATTTGGTAATGGTTTGCGTTTTGACATCTCTAAGCTTGGTAGAACATGCTCTTCTGCAGGCTTTTGGCACATAAGTTTTGGGGAAAAGTTCACAACTCGGATTTTATCTATCCCAAAATAAAAAATCAGGCCCCAAGATTTAAATTTACAAAACTCAGGTTTTTTCATGAATTAATTAATTATATTTTACAATTAATCTATTAAATTAAATATTTAACTGTAATATAAAATATTCAACGCCACCTCCACCATCACCACCATCACTCCGACGACTGCTCAGATGACTACTCCGACGACTGGCGACAATTCCGACAACTGCTCAAATTTGTGGGTCACAGATTCCTTTTTTAATTACAAATTATCATTTTAAAGTTACGATTCAATAGCGAGGTCACAGACACTAGAAAAAACACCATAGTTCAATAGCGAGGTCACAGACATCCAAAAAAAATCACCATAATTCAATAGCTAAATCACAGACACTAGCTAGGTTTCAGACACCAGAAAACATAACCACAGTTCAATAGCGAGGTCATAGACACCAAAAAAANAAGCACAAACACCATCATCACACTCCACCTTAGCCACCACAAAATCGTCGGAGAAATACCACGAATTGGGATTTGGAATAGATCTCCAAGAGGCGGACGACCACAGCAGCGTAGCGCGACATAGGGAGGGAGGGAGGAGAGAAGAGGAGAAGGGAGGAGGAGGCGGCTCCAGTGACGATGGAGAGAGGTGGCTGCGGCTACGGCGACGAGAGAGAGAGGAGAGAAATAAATTGGATTAGGTTAGAGTTTGGATATATTTAGATTTTATATAAATTTGGTGGGGGTAGATAGTAGGGTGGGTACGAATGTTATTTTAATTTTATAATATTATTATTAATTAAAAATGATAAAACTTGATTTTTGATTAAATAAAGTTAAAACCTGATTTTCAGAAACTTAAAACTAAACACTTGGTTTTTATGTAATTATCCCCAAGTTTTGAGTACAAGGCTAGACTGTTTTAAAAGCGTGTAAGAAGCCTTTTAAAAGCGTGTTGTGATCAATGTGTTCAGGCACGTCCACTTTAAGCATTGGCAGAGAAAAATATTTTTTTTTTGGTTTAATTTCATCGAAGGTCTCGAACTTTTGAACTTTGTGATAATGGTCCTGAATCTTTTTTTTAGCACTCGGAGTCACGAATCTTTTAAACCTCCGCGTCTGAAGTCCTTTTATGACGGAAACTGTCAGTTTAATTATTAAAATATCAGTTTTTGAGTAAAGTTTCTTTATTTTTTCGTGTTTTTGTTTTTGAGTTTTTTTTTTATTTTTTTAACTTGTTTATTTATTTATTTTAAATCAATTTGAGGTAATTTAACCTTTTGAATGTCAAATTTCCATCACAAAAGGACATCGAGCACGTGTTTGAAATATTTAGGATCTTGAATGCTAAAGTTTAAAGATTCAAGTCTCCATTATGACAAGGTTCAAAAGTTTGGAACCCTCAATACAATTTACCCTTCTTCTTTTTTGGTCAAGCCAGTTGTTGTTTTAGTTGGACGGGAGTTCTATTAAAATTAAAAAGTCCGTCGGACAAGAATGAAATAAAGGGTGATACTACACGTACATAATGCGGTGTTCATAACGATATCCATCCCCTCACATGGAGATGGCCCACTTCGAATATATTATATTTTATTCGAAGTGGGTCCCCCTCCATGTGAGGGGGTGGACACTGTTATGGACACCGTATTATGTACACGTAGCATATTTCTTAAATAAAATATAAAAAGTTATTACTCTAAAGCAACTTAATTAAAGGCTTTTCTTACCAATTATTAGTGTCATTTCGTGTTGTTAATTGTCTGGAAGTCTTTGTTTAATCTTCAGTTTTTAAAATTTATTTTCGATTATACATTCTTTCAATAAATTAATTTTATATGTAGAATTATAACATTTTCATATTTGTTGACCATATATTCTAAAAAAAAATTAATTTCCAAAAAAATATAGTCTAAAAAATCTCAATAGAACGGCCATTAAACAACTTGTTCAACTCTTTTGCAATTATTGTAGAAATTTAGGAGGGCCCACAATGATCCTTTTGTCTCCCTTTTTAGGCATTAACCAACAAAAATAACATCAATTGCATACCTACGTCCACAAAGTTGGAAGACTACCTAACATTGTTTTTTGTTTCACATTTAAAATTCAAAATCAAGAATGACATTGACAACCACCGCAATAGAGCAAAAAGTGTGGTGGGTCTTGGTCAATTTGCACAATCAACCCATTTGTTCAATACTCATGTTGCATCTTAGTGTTCGACCTTTTTTTTTTTTACACAATCGTTTCATCATCTTTTAATTTTATAACATTGATAAACCATCTAATCCTGTATATACGTAATCGTAATCGTACGAGAACAAGAATGGCTATATCTTCAAACGGCCACGACATTTGTACGTTTAGATATTATCTTATATTCGTGATATCGAGAAGATTACTAATAAGTAACTACAAAATTAAGAGGTTTAGGACGAATAAATTGGATTAGGTTAGAGTTTGGATATATTTAGATTTTATATAAATTTGGTGGGGGTAGATAGTAGGGTGGGTACGAATGTTATTTTAATTTTATAATATTATTATTAATTAAAAATGATAAAACCTGATTTTTGATTAAGTTAAAACCTGATTTTCAGAAACTTAAAACTAATCAGCTGATTTTATTGTAATTATCCCCAAGTTTTGAGTACAAGGCAAGACTGTTTTCAAAGCGTGTAAGAAGCCTTTTAAAAGCGTGTTGTGATCAATGTGTTCAGGCACGTCCACTTTAAGCATTGGCAGAGAAAAATACTATTTTTATTTTTTTTTGGTTTAATTTCATCGAAGGTCTCGAACTTTTGAACTTTGTGATAATGGTCCTGAATCTTTGTTTTTTTAGCACTCAGTCACAAATCTTTTAAACCTCCGCGTCTGAAGCCCTTTTATGACGGAAACTGCCAGTTTAATTATTAAAATATCAGTTTTTGAGTAAAGTTTCTTTATTTTTTCGTGTTTTTGTTTTTGAGTTTTTTTTTTTATTTTTTTAACTTGTTTATTTATTTATTTTAAATCAATTTGAGGTAATTTAACATTGTAAATGTCAAATTTCCATCACAAAAGGACATCGAGCACGTGTTTGAAATATTTAGGATCTCGAGTGCTAAAGTTTAAAGATTCAAGTCTCCATCACAACAAGGTTCTAAAGTTCGGAACCCTCAATACAATTTACCCTTCGTTTTGGGTCACGCCATTTGTTGTTTAAGTTGGATGAGAGTTCTATTAAAATTTAAAAGTCGGTCGGACAAGAATTAAATAAAATTTAAAAAATTATTACTCTAAAGCAACTCAATTAAAGGCTTTTCGTACCAATTATTAGTGCCATTTCGTGTTGTTAATTGTCTGGACGTCTTTGTTTGGTCTTCCGTTTTTAAAATTTATTTTCGATTATACATTCTTTCAATAAATATAATTTTACATGTTACGCATCCGTTTGATTCTTATTTTTTATTCGTAAAAATTAAAAATATGACCGTTATCCATCACATCAAGCCATCAAGTTTGAATTTCGTCTCTTGTGTGGGGCCCGATAACGATTATATTTTTCATTCTCGTTCTACAATAATAAGAATCAAACGAGCCCGTAGAATTATAACATTTTCATATTTTTTGACCATATATTCAAAAAAAAAAAATTTATTTTCAAAAAAATATATTCTAAAAAATCTCAATAGAATGACCATTTTAACAACATTAATGCTGGTCGACCAGGGTCAGTGACCGACCAAAATTCATACCTCAACCCCTGATTTGAAAAAAAAAAGAACCCCACATCAATTCAAATCAAAGGTCCCTGGATTTGGGCCTGGATTTGGCCCGTGCATTATTGCTCTTTTAACAATTTAGGCCTTGTATGAGAGGGATTAAAATCGAATTAAAATTGAAAATATAGCCGTTATTGCTAACTTTTATTAGACGAGTGGGACCCAATAACGACCATATTTTCAATTTTAATTGACTTTTAATTCCTCCCAAACGGAGCCTTAATCTAACTCTTTTGCAATTATTGTAGAAATTTAGGAGGGCCCACAATGATCCTTTTGTCTTCCTTTTTAGGCATTAACCAACAAAAATAACATCAATGGCATACCTACGTCCACAAAGTTGGAAGACTACCTAACATTGTTTTTTGTTTCACATTTAAAATTCAAAATCAAGGATGACATTGACAACCACCGCAATAGAGCAAAAAGTGTGGTGGGTCTTGGTCATTTTGCACAATCAACCCATTTTTTAATACTCATGTTGCATCTTAGTGTTCGACCTATTTTTTTTTTACACAATCGTTTCATCATCTTTTACTTTTATAACATTGATAAACCATCTGATCCTGTATATACGTAATCGTAATCCTACGAGAACAAGAATGGCTATATCTTCAGACGACCACGACATTTGTACTTGTACGTTTAGATATTATCTTATATTCGTGATATCGGGAAGATTACAAACAAGTAAATGGGGCTACAAAATTAAGAGGTTTAGGACGAAGTTCTTAAAAAATAGTTCGGGACCCAATGGTGTAATTTTTATTTAAAAGTGTAAAAATTGCTATAAAAATGTGCAATAAGAGAGAATCAACATTGATCTTTTAGTACACACGAAACACTAACGAATTCCATGGCTGCACTTTTCTACCTCTTAACCATCACCCTTCTCTTTTCTTCCATCTCCGGCGAACTGCAGAATGATTTTCCGGCAGAAATTGATGCTAAGATGCTCGGATTTCGCAAGGAAAAAATCACCCATTTCCGAGTTTATTGGCACGACATTTTAAGTGGGCAAAAACCGACTTCAATCCGAATCGTTAACCCACCTTCAAATGTTCCAGCATCCAACGGCTTCGGCATAGTAAGTATGATTGACAATCCACTAACAGCAGGCCCAGAATTGAAGTCCAAATTGGTTGGAAGAGCACAAGGGTTTTACGCTTTGGCTTCGCAAGAAGAAATAGGGCTTTTGATGACAATGAATTTCGTATTTGGTGAGGGGAAATACAATGGAAGTACGATCACAGTAATGGGGAGGAATGCAGTTTTGAATAAAGTGAGGGAGATGCCGGTGATCGGAGGAAGTGGGCTTTTCCGATTTGCTCGCGGCTATGTTGAGGCAAGAACACATACGTTTGATCTCAAGACCGGAGATGCTACGGTTGAGTATAATGTCTACGTACTTCATTATTGATTCTTAAGCTGCTTTTTCTGTAACTTGTCAGTTGTTTGCATCATCCCATGGATGCTGCTGTTTGGGAATAATTCACCTTTAAAATCGACATCGACTTCGAATACTCGAAGTAGCACTCTCTATGTTTCCATTTATTACCAAAATCATCTCATTGATTCACCGACAGATTTAGCTCATGTTTGGTGGGAATTAAAACAAAATTTTCGATAGATTTTGATGAAATATGTGATTAAAATATTAAATTTGACCTTAAATGTGAAGAAAGTGGTTCACTATAATTTTAAAAATTCAATTTTGTATAAAGATTTTAATTTTATAATTTTGCCATGATATTGCAACTTGGTTGCATTTTCTAAAATTCATATTTAAATACACACCCTCCCAATAAAATAATATTGCAAGTAAAATGAATTTTTATGTTAAAAAAATATCAATCAAACAAGGTTATATATGATAGATAACTTCAAAATAATATTGTAGGTCTCTCGAAATGTATGAATAAAAAGTGATTTGAATATTTATGAACAATTTATAAACATAGCCAAGCATAAACTCAGTCTCGAACCCTTAGTCCCCTTTGCATATTTTATATACAGTTAACACTAAAATGATCGTGTTTTACTTTTCTTGACATCGTTTTTAAATAAAATAATTAGTTCTATTTTTTTCTTCAAATACCGCCGTCCCCACAAGATGTCACTATGTTGTTGACTAGTTTAGATAGTGTAGATCAACGTAGCATCTTTCTCGTCGTAACAACGTCAACAACCCTAATGTCCCACAAGTTAAAAACCTTAGCTTTGCCCCTTCTTGTAAGGTAGAATGATCAATGTCCTTACAAATCTGCAAAACAAGTCTTCAATATTTAGAAGTAATCCTTACTTTTAGCATGGAAAAATTTGATTGTTAGGGCCACCAATACACACACATGTACCAGAGAGGTGCTACTTGTCCCGGGATTTAGGCCCTGTTTGGGAGATATTTTGATTTTTTTACAGTAAATTAATTCTCATATTCAACCACACATTCTTCAATAAAATAATATTTTCCATCACATCAATAATTTTTTCTTCTTTTTCAACCACACATTTCCCATCATATCACAATTCAAAATCAATTTTTCCCCCAAAAATCCTTCCCAAACAAGCTTTTAATCCCGGGACAACCAACTTTATTCCGCAAACCCCCCTCCAATAGGAGGGCACCAAATGGCGTCCCTGATTTGACCCGAGATTTAATCCTGGGACAACTAGCTTTATTTCATGTACCATTAGTCCAAGAGATAGGCTAAAGGGAACGTGACACCTGTGAGCACCAAATGGCGTCCCTGATTTGACCCGAGATTTAATCCTGGGACAACTAGCTTTATTTCATGTAGCATTCGTCCAAGAGATTGGCTATAGGGAACGTGAGACCTGTGGAATATATTGCTTGAATAAAGTGCTTTGGATTATTGCTCACAATTGCTGTAGTCCAAATGAATAACAACCACATATTCAGAAACAACCATATTCGGCTGAATAAAGAATACTCCCTACGTTCCAATTATATAAACTAAGTTTCATTTTTCTCTTGTCCTAAGTATATAGACATGTTTTCTAATATAAAATATTTTGTCATGTTCCTTTACCAATATACCCTTATTACATTTTTCCCATTTAATATGCCAATTTCTTGAAATCATCCAAATACACACATTTCCCACTTTTTGGAAATATGAAGTGATGAAACAACTTTCATTTCTTCTTCTTCAAATTCTTTATTAGTTCCAACAATAATTTAGTTTTACATATTGAAAATTAAATAGGGGTAAACTAGGAAAGATTTTGGCAAAAATTAATTTTTCAATGACATTAAAGAAGTTTTCTTAATTCGTATGAGAAACGAAACAAGCCTATATAATTGGGATGAATAGAGTAGTTTTTTGTTCTTTATGTGGACCGTCGAGAGTGAATGACCCATTCTTTTGTACAGATGACTTTATGTCTATGGACTCGACTACTTTCATGTCATGAATCCATTTCAACTGCTATCGTATCAAGCTTCAGATTTTTCAAGAAAACGATAAAAGTAGGTAACATTTATGACTGTCCATTTCCAAATAATATTCCACATTGCATCATTCTATTCAAACTTTTCCTAAGGGGAAAAATTCAAAAATCAATGCAAAAATCAAGTTTCAAGTTTAAAAGTTGCGAAAATCAGGTTTTTAAAAATTTTTAAAATAAGGTCACAATTATATGCATTTTGGTCACAGATATCTTATTAATTATTTAAAAATTAAACCACAACTTATCAAATTAATTGGTCACAGATTATTTTGAGGTCACAATTGACTTCATTGGTCACTAATCAAAAAATTTATAGGTCACAAATTTTCAATTGGTCACAAGTTAAAACAAATTATAGATAACAGAGATCACATTTCTAAATTTGTTGGACACAGATTATATTTTCAGTCATGGATTATCGAATTTTGAGGTCACAGTTTAATAGTTAGCCACAGAGAACCGTATAGTTGGTCACACACACCCAAACACCCGTCCCCCAATCCCAATCATCCACCAAATCGACCAAA